CTATAAAAGCTAAGTAGAGATGGCTCTTCCAGCTACCACAGGGCACTGGGGTTGTGAAGATAAGACAGATCTCTGAGGTCCTTCTGGGCAGCTATACCTTCCTCCTTCTAAAAGTAAGGAAAGTCTGCCTGTGCTTCCCATGAATGCCAGCTCAGAGATAAGCAACCTCAACAGAGCAGGGAAGGAAACCTCAGCCAAAACTGGGGGCAACAACCAGCCCTGACGGAGGCTCACTAGGTATGGATTTTCCAACTAAAAAAGTAATTGCAGAAACAGAGAAGGAAAAGTAGTAATAACCAAAGACAGGACTGCACTCCCTGGCAGACAGATTGGTAAGTACATGATATCTTACCTGATTGGTGGTGTCCACTGGTGGAAAGACTGACCACAGCATATTCTCTGATGTGTTGGGAGAGAGTGAAAGTTGAAAAACAAGATCTGGAACTTTTAAGTCCCAATTAAACCAGGGAGGGAGAAGGCGCTTTCACAAAGAGGAAGAGGAAACACTGACCAAAGGCCAAAGTCTCTGCTCACCTAAGAGATCTTTGTACAAATTAGTGCAGACAAAAACAGCAAATACTGAGAGAAACTGAGATGGTTAACTTCCTTGAAAATTCCAATGTCATAACAAACACAAAGAACAGAGAAATAATGGCTTATTCAAATGAACATGACAAAGGGAATGAAAGAGCATCTAGAGATGACCAAATAATGAAAAAAAAAAAAAGGAAGAATATAATACAACACCACTAAACATAATTAAACAGCTAAGGGAAAACTTTAACAAAGAGCTAAAAGAAATAAGGAAAACAATGTAACGATAAAATGAAAATCTAACAAAAGATACTGCAACTAAAAATAATAACCAAAATGAGAAACACAATTGAAGGACTTACCAACAGATTTAATCAGGCAGAAGAAATAATCAGTGAATTAGAGCATAAAATAGTTAAAATTACAGAGGCTAACGAACAATAAGAATGGAGGCTCAAGAAAGCTGAGTACTGTTTAATGGAATTATGGGACAAGATACCCAACATACTTATCACAGGAATTTCAGAAAGAGAGAAAGGGACAGAAAGAATATCTGAAGAAAAAATAACAGAAAATTTCCCCAATGTAACAAAGGACGTGAATCTACAAATCCAAGAAGTTCAAAGAACTCCAAGCAGGATAAACCCAAAGATATCTACACCAAGACACATCACAGTTAGGCTCTCAAAAATTAAAGAGAATCCTAAAAGCCGTGAGTGAGGAGCAAAGAGTCACATACTCTGCAGTGTAGTAAATTACTTTGTGTGGCTTTTCTACCCACAAGTCTTTGTAAACTCCAAGGAGGGATTTGCTATGAGCAACTGAGGAGCTCCTGATTGCTGAAGGTGTCCACCTGGAGTATTTCTGTTGGGAGTGGCACAAAACAAT